TTTTTTTTTTTTTTTTACAAAAAAAGCACTGCATTTTTGTAGAGTGATCTTTTAATGATGCTTCTAATGCAGTTTGCATTTACGTGTAGTTATGAACCATCCAGAGAGGTTCAACTATTGGGTGGTATAGAAATATAATAGAAACATAGCAACATAGAAATTGAGCGAGTCAGAAGGGGCCTCCCAGGCCATCTAGTCTGATCCCCTGCTCCAGCTGGCTCTGCTCATGACATGTCTACCATGTGCAACAACAATACTACTACTACTGCTTCTAATAATAATACTTTTCACATAAGGTACCAAACAATCCTAGAACTATAATCCTATGCATACACAGGATGTGTCCTAGCAAGGGTGGTATTATGCAATCACTGTTTTTCATCATTCAGGACATTTTACAAAGTCCAGAATATGGACTCTTCCCACCAATCCCCCTCTTTTATCTATTATGGAGGAAAAGACAGAGTAGCTGCAGTGACATTGAAAGTACCCCTTCATTGTGTTCAAGTCCCACTACTCCAAACCCTAACATAAATCTCACTTTCAGTGGGACTTTATTCTCTAGTCCTGGTGCTTAAGATATGTCCTAGAGACAATAACAAACATTATTGACAAACAATGCAGTCATATGCCTGAAGTAGGTTCCATTGAGTGAAATAGGAATGTATTCCCAGGTGTGAATAAGATTTCATAGATAAGTGATCTCAAAATCTGTGCTGTTTATTATTCAAGCTTGTATAGAACTCACATTACTAAACCAGTAGCGGAAAAATATTTTTGATATGGGTTTGGGGAACTGAGAGCCACACCAGCCCGAGAGCTCTCAATAGTTTTGTTCATATTGTCTACAGTTGGTAGAAAAACATGCTTGCTCCCATCCAGCCTTTCACCTTCACAGCAGTGGCGTACAGGGTCAAATGGAAGACTATTAACAGCAATGCAGGAGCAGTGGAAGTGATCTCTGCCTTCTGCCCTGCATTTCTGCTGGATGGGCAAAAAAGCCTATCCACCTGAAGTGTCTCAGATTGGGAAGGAAGCTGGAGAGGAATCCGTATAGCTCCTATATGGACCGCATGAGTCTCCTCTCTTTCTCCCAAGCACCCCCTTTAACGCCTCTCCAAGGCTGCTTTTCCTTGCAAGGTTGGTGCAGTTCGAGAGCTCTGATGCTGACTAATCTTGAACCGGGGAATGCAAACCACATGGTCCTTCAGGAACTGTCTAGGGACCATAAGATGGTGCTCCTTATGGCACCATCCAATGCTGGGAACTCTGCGGATCAACCAACAGGTGGGAGTCGCTCGGAGCCTAGGATTGCCTCTCCGCTCCCTCGTCCTCCAAAAGACTGTGGCCATTCAAATGTCTTTCCCCTCGTTACAAGGAGAGCCTGCGGCGCCTCGGAGGACGGGCTGCCTTCTCCCTTCCCCATGTGCGGGCTCCGAAGGCAGTCTTCTGTCTTTGAAACCCAGTCAACATGAAAAGAACGGCACTGGCTGCGAGGGCAGCGCTCTCTGAGGTCCAGGTCCAACTCCAGCCACGGAACGCATAGATCTAAGAGGTCCTCCTCTCAATGCCAGTTTCATGGACAATTCAGTAAATATATATTAAAGACACTACTGCACAAGCACTTTGATATAAAGTGTCTGTTTTTCCTTTCGAGTATTTTAATTTGATAGTTTTTATGGATTCAATAAACTATTCCGCAGGCTTGTTATGGATTGTAGACTGCTAACGAATTAGGAATTCGAAAGCCGAGAAGATATTTGTAAATCCTATCTACCTCTTAATGCATTTAAAGTACATCTATACTAATTTGCACATTTTATTTTATTTGTAAGTATTTAAGAAGTGCTATCGTTTTGCCAGTAAACATGCATGGAAGGAAACAGCACGCCTGCGTCCGCTATCATCTCCTAGCATGAAGAACGGCTGAAAATCCTTTGCAGAAAGGCTATCAGTCGCTCTCGGGAACAAGCCAGCCGCCCCGCGCCCGCCAGCCTCGCAGGATACATTACTCCACTACTCTCGCTCCTTCCTTCCTTCCTTCCTTCCTTCCCCGCCACTCCAAAGCTCAAGCAACGACCACCGCTTGCAGAACCCGCCACTACCAGGACGTCTTCCCCAGCCGCAACCCGCTCCAGAATCTCGCGAGAGTTCTGTCCGTGCGCGCCACCCAGTCGGAGGCGTGTAAATAATTTGAAAGCAGCGGCGGGAAGAGGAGCCTGGCGGGTGCTGCGCAAGCGTCCCGGGCGGTGCCAAAGGTTCCGGCGCCGCGGCCTTCGGTAGTCTGCGCCGTTATCAGGTGAAACGGGGAGTCTTCGGCGGGTGGTGGAAGCGTAGCCTGCCGCTCTTTGGCGGGCGTGCTCGATCCCGGGCTTGACCTCGGAGCGCGAGAGGGAGACTTCTCTGCCTCAGGCTACGTGCATCGGTGTAGGGACGGATGCAGAAGGGAGACCCCAGCCCGACGTGTGGCTCGTAGGGACTTCCTTTGCCTTCGCGTTAGGTCTGCTGCTGCTGCACAGACAGCGAAGAGGCCTGTACCGTGAAGACTAGCACATTTAAGGCATCAACCTAGAGCCTTCTTCATTGGATGCATGGAGCATTATGGAGAGCATCAGGGTTATATATGCTAAACTTTTGCATGATTTCTTACCTGAAAAAACATGCTTGCAGTCCTCGTTCGGAGCTAACTGCAGATACTTAAGGCTGCAATCTAGTACATGCACGTTTCTAAGCAAGCGCACTGAACAAAGTGGGGCATATTTCTGAGCAGATGTACACATCTGGCTGTCCAAACCTACTGGTGCACTGCGTTGCTATGTAAATTTTCATTAACACGGGAAATCACTGTCATGATAACCACTACTTATTGTGTCAGGAATGAGGCTCAGCAAAACTTGGGCTCACATTTTCTCCCTTGAACTGCTTGTGAAGAGCCTGGAAGTCATCTCCAGCACCCTCCATCCTTAATTAAGCGCAGTTTGCCATTTGTCTGGACTTTACAAAATAAGATCAAGCAACCATGACTTATTTCCCCCCTTTGTGATTCTATGAGAGTCCAGAGTGTTCTGGATAGCTGAAGAGTTTTCCTTAAGTGGTTGCTTCTCTCCATCTCATGGTTTGCTTGAAACAAGCCAACTTCAAACAATGTTTTCAACAAATCATAGTTCAGCCATAATGCTAAACTGCAGCTAATACAACAGTGGAAACCATGGTTTAGTGTGGTGTCCAAATCAGCTCAGTTACTCCAGCTAAAATTGTTAGCTAAATGGAAAAGGCATGGCTGCTTAGCATTTGGCAGAGGAAAATGGATACACTTGGTTTTATGAGCAAAATGTACAGTTGATAGCACAGAAATGAATGCAGTTTTCTTGTCCTGACCTTATGAGTCTGACACAAGAATTGAGCAAGTGAGAATGCTGAGGAAAACTATTTTCTTGAACTCAAGTAGCAAGCCCAAGACTGATTGAAACTTTGAACTTTAAATTTGATGCTGTACTTTTATTTTACTGCATTGCCATCCTGGGACTTAGTGCAGGCCAGCATATAAAAGCTTCAAATTAAATCAATAATTATATAAAAGGTGGTCCCCCTCATTATAGCTCGAAGTGCATAGTCCTGTGTGCAGTCAACACCAGTAACAATGAGACTTCTAAAATAAGACAAGTTATATGATACTGTCAAACATCTAGGCTTTAGAATAGAAAATTAAAACTGGGAAGAAACTAGAATACATATTGAAAAAACAACTACTAGCATGATTAGAAGGTATAAAATGAGCATCTTTTTAGTAGAGATAGTTTGGTTGTTGCCTATCAATAGTTCAGTGGTCAAGCATGCCAGAAGACTTGGGTTCAGTCCCTGGCTTCTCCAGTTTAACAAAATCAGGTGATTGGAAAGGTCTGAGTCCCTGGAAACCTGCTGCCACTCACCCAAGTGAGATTAACTGGGTTAATCCCACCTGATATAAGGCTGGAATGTCATACATACATTTTTCCTATTCTGTATAATGTGTGATAGTAATATGAGTAGCTTGAGTATTACCATTTTCTAAAGAAAAGAGAGGGTTTGCTGTGCAGGGTACACAGGTAATGTAAACAATACATACATACATACAGTGCAATGAGAGCGTCTAACTGTATAACCTGAGGCTGCTGAAGACACTGCTGGCTCTTTGAATTTAATGGTCTAATCTTGTTTGTAGGTCACTATGGATACCACCAGTAGAAAGAGAGGGTATAACTCCTAAACAAAATAGTTTAGATTGAAACTAATTCTCAGATAAGAGTGTGAATAATAAACATGGTCTGGATACGTCAATTGGTACAGCATAGAGCTGCAAGACAGCTCACTTGGACTGGAAGATGTGATCATATAACGCCATTGGTTACCTGTTGAAGTCTAGGCCCAATTTAAGGTGTTAACTTTGACATATGAAGTCTTAAATGGTTTAGGACCTGGTTATTTGCAGGAATGTCGCTTTCCATACGTATCTGCCTAAATTTTAAGATCTTCCACTGAGGTTCTTCTTCGGGAGCCCTCCTTGAAGGAGGTTAGAAGAGTGATTACCCAGAGAAGGGCCTTTTCTGTGGTAGTGCTCTGACTTTGGAATCTACTCCTCAGAGAGGTGCACCTGGCGCCAACACATTATTTCAGCACCAGGCCAAACCCTTCCCCTCAGTATTTTAAGGGTCGATGGGCTTTTTAAAATTGGAATTTTACTGTTATATACTGTATTTTAACTTGCTGTTATTGTTTTGTGGGCTGTCTTGAGACCTTTTTGGGTAAAGACAGGGTAGGAATGCTTTAAATAAATAAATAATAAATAAATGGTAATATATTAAGTAATACAGATGTGAATATATGCTTATATGAGGACTGTTTAAAAAAAACCCTTGTAGATAGGCATGATGGTAACATGAAGTTGATGTTCAAGGCTTGTGGATTCCTCAGATGGTAAAGCTTTTGATTATGTTTTGTTTATGGCCATCTCTTTTTCAGCCATGAAAGGCAAAAAGACGCTCAGTATTAAGGAAGCCTTTGAGCAGGCTCAAAAACCTCACCAAAACCATGCAAAGTTAGCAACATCTTTGAAGCACACATACAATGAGGTAAACAAGTCTTTCCTTGTTTGATTTATATTGATTTTAGCCTTCAGTTACTCATGAGACTCACATCAGATGTTAGGAGGTGTTGGCCCTGTCATCTGGCCTGTAGAGGACTTTGTGAGTGGGTGTGTCATCTGGTTTCCCACCAAGAAACAGTTTCCCGTCCTTGCAGTGATGTTCCAGGATTCTAGGATAGCTCAGGTATTCCCCCTTGGAGAGAGAAGCTTGACCTTGAAAGGGGAAATCTGATAAGAGACCTCCCCATAGTGTCTGCCTACCCTGGAAAGGTGAGGGACAGGTGAGGTCTGGGTGGACAGGTATGTTGGCTTATCAGGAGTATCCCCTGCTGATAAGTATCCCCAACCCTGGCATAGGGATATTATGCCATCCTAGTTCCCATATGTAGCTGCTTTTCTTGTGTGGGTTTTTTAGTAGGATAGCCCTCCAATCCTCTTTCGGCTTTGTTAGGTTCATCCTGGTAGGGCTTTAGGTATATTGTGCACTCTGAATCTGGAGTTAGGACTGCCTTGCCCCTCAATGTTTTGGAGAGTGATACTGAGATTAATTGCTAGGCTGCTAAGCTATCACATACAATCTATATTGCAACTAGATGTTGTTGTAGCTTATGCCAGTAAGCACACTATAATCAACAGTGTTCATCTGGGTTGAAGATGTTATAAATTCCTCCTGGATAGAGGATGTGTGCTTTAAAGAAGACACTAGTTAGGCCACTCTGAAAGAAGTGCCTAACCCAGAAGATGTTACAGTGACATAAGTCAGTTGCCCTTCCTAGGCAAGATGCTTCAGCAAGTGTGTGTTGATCAACTTCAGACACTTGTTGATCTGACTCATGATCTAGATCCATTTCAGTTGAGTTTTAGGCCTGGTTTTGGAATGGAAACTGCCTGATCGCTCTATGGGATGGCCTTTTCTTGAGATGGGGTGGTGCAGTGTGGACCTGTTCATTCTCTTGCCTGTTTCTGATACCATCAAACATGGTATCCTGGATAGGCTGTCTGTTTGCTGTGGTTGGTTCCTGCCCAGAGATCCCAGAAGGTAATGGGAAATAATTGTTCTCTGCATTCACGATTACACCACAGTGTTCCTCAGGCTCTGTTTTAACTTGCAAGTTGTTCAGTTCCTACATGAAACCATCTCTGAATAGCTTGGAATCAGTTTGCTTGGAGGGTTGTCTTCTCCATACATATTTGATTAACATTATGTTTAGAGGTGAGACCCTGTCAAATGAGGTTATTAAGGAGATACACTTTTCAGTGATGGCACCCCTGTTGTAGAATGAATTTCTGGGAAAAGCTCATTATTAATGGCTTCCAGGGCCAGGTGAAGATTCTTTTGTTCTCCCATACTTTTTAGTCTTTGATTTTAAAAAATGCTATTATTGTTGTGGGTTTTTTATTTTTTGGTTAATTTTGTTTTAAATTCATGGGTTTTTGTATTATGTTTTATTGTTTTAATTTATGACCCTCTCAGAGAATGTCTTCTACTGGGTGGTACAGAAAATGCAGTTAGCAAACAGACAGATAAATAAATTATGAAAATGAGAGGCTTGTTAAATGTATGGGTTGTGAATATGTCATCTGAATCTGTGACTTAACAGAGGTCCGCTCTACAATTTTGCAAGCCAAATTGTATTCTGTATTAGTTGCAGGACAAAAGCTGTTTTCATGAGAAGTTTGTTCATTACCTTAAGTATGCCATGATCATCTACAAACGGGAACTTGCAGTAGAGAACGTGATAAACTTTGTGGCCAAGTTTCTTGCTTCTTTTTATGAGCCAGAAAAAGATGACACTGAAGAGGAAGAAGCAGAGAATTCGTTATTGAATTATTTGTTCAACTTTTTGCTTGAGGTACCATAACAATAATGTACTAATAGTGGAAAACTGGTATTGGATAGATGAAGTGCCTTTTATATTATATCATTATCTAGCAGGCACCATATGAATTTGCACAGAGATGGCATAGTTCTCATGCCGTTTTCTTAATAATGGAGATGTAAATTCAAGATTAAGCTTTATTCACTTGATAGTGCTTTGGGTATAAGGACTATGTTAGTCTTCACAGTCTTAATGAGAAAAAACCAGAGGGAGAAGTAATTTAGTCTGTATCGCTTTGTCAAAGCTACTAATACTGATAGGGCAGAATCTCAAAAAGCAATTGCCAAGGTTTCTGATGCAGCTGTGGCTCTGATTTGCTCAGCTGACGTATGTTGTTGCTGTTCTTGTAGCTTCCATTCATGTTTGGTGGCCATGTTTTTTTTGTTAAAACACTATCTTTTGAATTTAAATTCATATTGTATGAACACATGAGGTTTTATGTGTTAGGGTGCATTTCTGTGGGTTGCACCCTCAAAGCCTGTAAACCCCTGAATTTGGAGGCTTGTTACTCCTATGTCAGTGGGGTTCCTTGTCCATTGCAACCTTTGTTCTGCCAGAGTGGTCCCTGGGGGTTGAACTTCATCTGCAAAATATGTTTGCCCCCATGGAACACTGTTGCTCCCATAAAGAACAAAATAAAAGCTGCAATGAACAAGGAACCCCAGTGGCAGAGGAGTCTCCAGCCTCTCTTCTACGCATCTTATTCAGGGCAGAAAAAGTGGCAGATGAGAGCTTCATCTCTGTTTTCCTGCCCTGCCATTTTGCTAGAAGAGCATTTTGCCCATCTGGGAAACCGCTTTGGAGGGGGAGGGAAGGATGCTGATGAAGCCCCCAGGTAGTTCCTATCCTGGCTTCTCCAGTCTTATTCTCTTCTGCAGCACGCCTTTTTCTGCTTCTGTTCTGCATTTTGAAGAGGCAGCCAATGTGGTTCTTAACATGTTGTGTGTGTGTGTGTATGGGGTGGGGTGGGGTTGGAGGGTTCTGTCTGCAAGTTTGGGACTGGGATGTGAAATACTCTCTGGTCCCTCAGATGTTGTCTACAGGCCATAGGATTGTTCCTTTAATACATTGCTCAAATGTATACCGTTTTCATATTTGAAAAGTTTATGTTTAATATAATTCTATTAACATAAAAACAGTAATGCAAGTATTTGCAGAAAAAAATACTTCCTACTTCTTTTTAAGTCCCACCAGGCTAACAGCAATGCAGTTAGATTTCGAGCATGCCAGCTTATTAATAAACTTTTGGGAAGTCTGCCAGAAAATGCTCAAATTGAAGATGAGCTGTTTGATCAAATTAACAGTGCCATGCTGCTCAGAGTGAAAGATAAAGTTCCAAATGTGAGAATTCAAGCTGTGCTGGCATTATCCAGACTTCAAGATCCAAAAGACAATGATTGCCCAGTGGTTAATGGTATATTGCTTTTCTATCATTGATCCTTATTCTGAATTGAATTTTTATAGCTTTGCTTGGTGGGAAATTAAGGGGATATCATTACAACTGAAATTTGTTTGGCAGATGCAAATGTATTTGTTGCAGAAAAATCTGAAGTGGGATAAAGAGAGTGGAAACTAGATAAGTGCCTATCAGAGATCTCATAATAATTTGAAGTGGGTAAGGGAAGCATATACCTTTGAATAAAAAAACTTCATCACACATGAGATGGTGGAACAGCAAAAGGAGGTTCTGGTATTAGGCAAACATTTCCTGGCTTGCTAAAAAAAGTTTAAAAGCTGAGCATGGCTATTAGGACTGCATGCTTAGTTCTTCCCTTTATATCTGATATGGACACAACTATATATATTGGCCTTTTTTGTTTCTTTTTGATATAAATCCATTTTTCAATTACCAACAAAACTTTGCATAATACTATTTTTTCCAGTTTACAACAATTTAATTGAGAATGACTCCAATCCAGAAGTCAGGCGTGCTGTATTGTCATGTATTGGTCCATCAGCAAAAACTCTATCAAAAATTATAGGTCGTACCATGGATGTAAAAGAGGCTGTCAGGAAATTAGCATACCAGGTAAACATATTTCTACTAATCTCACTTGTTAAAATTTACCATGTTAAAAATATCCAAACAATTGGATGATGCAATTTTCTGGAGGAGTGCGGAGTATCTTTGAGATACTTCCTAAAAATGTGTATTTTAAATTAAAATCTATTGTGACAAGTCTAGTTGGTTTTGTCTTTGATGAGTGCCAGTAATAACAGCTGCTCAAAAGCACAGAAATAAGGCACTTGTAGTCCCCTCTTTGAGGTGGTCCAAAAGCAACTGTGGGGCATGCTGGATTAAAAAAAAATGTTTTGTGGGCAAATGAACGCATTATATGTTTGTCTCAAAGAGCAAGTTGAATTCAGACTACAGAGGAACCTAACAATACAGCTTAGGCAACATTGGGTATGTGAGACACTGCTAATCCACTTTAATAAAGTAGCTGTTCACTGAGGATTCTTTGATTGCAGGCTTTGATTGCATGTACAACCACTGTAACCATTATTATAAGTTTCATATTTATACCTCCCTGTAGTTAAGCCCTCTGAGTGCTTTACAGCATTCCATTAAAAGACATTAAAATAGAATAAACTACCACACAGTCTTATCAAAGAAACTTTAAAAATGGTAAAACAGCTAAAACACAGTAGAGCATGACCGGAAAAACATCTAGGACAGATAATCGCCTGAAGCTCCTTGATAGCTAAATATATTGTTAAAAGCCTTTGCACAAAGAGCTGTCTTAGCCTGGCACCCCAACAATGACAAGGTTGTCACCAGGAGGGCCACAGTAGAGAGAGATTATTCCATTGATGGGGGCCACCACAAAGAAAACCCTCCTTGTTGTCATTCTTTCAGCCTCCCTAAGAATTGTTACAGGAAGACCCCAGAGGTTAGGCATGGCCTTTCAGTAGATTGTGGTTAAGAGAAGCGCTCTGACAGTACTGTGGTCCCAAGCCATGTTAAGGCTTTATAGGTTAAAACCAATGCCTTGCATTGGGCCTAGCAGCCTGGAGGCAGCTTGTCCAAGCAGGACAGCACCTGTCTTACATGTTTGGAACAGGTCTCAGCTACTAATCTGGCTGCATCATTCTACATGAGCTGCAACTTCAGACGCAGTTCCACATAGAGTGCATTGCGGGTACCTAATTTAGGGAGTACCAGAGCACAGGTTACTGAAACCAGGTGATCCTTTTTCAGATACACTGAAAAGGCACTCTGAGCCATCGACGCCACCTGATCCTCTAGTGACAAAATTGGATCAAGGAGCACCCCAAGCTACAAACCTGCTCCTTCAGGGGGAGTGCAACCCCATCTAGAGCAGGTTGAACACCCCCCCCACCCCAAAATCCAGTCAGAAACCACCCACCAGCAGCATCTCAGTCTTGTCTGGATTGAACTTCAGTTTGTTAGCTCTTTTCCAGTCCATTGTCAGCCAAACACTGGATACATTTATTTATTTTTATTTATTTAAAACATTTTTATCCTGTCCTTTGCAACAAGCCTCAGGACAGCTTACAAAAGGTTAAAATAGTAATATAATAATACAATTAAAACTTTCAGTAATAAACCCATCATGAACAACACTTCAAAACTAAAGAAAAAGAGGAAAGAAAGGAAAAGAAAGAAAATACTACTTTGTAAAATCCTTAATTATTAAAATGATGGCTAAATAGAAAGGTCTTTACCTGGCTCTGGAAAGAGTAGAGAGTCAACCTCTCTGGGGAGCGTATTCCATAGTCTGGGCGCCACCACAAAGAAGGTCTCCTCTGGGAAGGCCTTCATACTTCCTTCAAAGATGGTTCCTGGAGCAAAGCCTCCCCTGCCGATCTTAAGGGGCGTGAGGGCATGTGGGGAAGGAGACATTCCTACAGGTATCCTGGTCCCAAACCATTTAGGGCTTTTTAAGGTTAGTACCAGCACCTTGAATTGGGCCCAGACTTCAATTGGGAGCCAGTGAAGCTGGTAGAGGACCGGTGTTATATAAGAATATCGGCTGGACCCTGTCAGCAACCTGGCAGCTCTATTTTGTACCAACTGAAGTATCCAGACAGTTTGCAAGGGCAGCCCCACATAGAGCGCGGTACAATAATCCAACCGGGAAGTTACCAGAGCATATGTCACCGTCGCTAGGCAATGCTCATCCAGTAAGCTTGCAATATTGTAAGCCGTCCTGAGATCTTGTATAATAGGACGGCATACAAAAGCTTTAAATAAATAAATAAATAAATAAATACATACATAAATAATAAAAAGGACGCATAAATGTTGTCAGACCATATTAAGTTCATTGTTAAATACTGTGCCCAAGGTCCATTGATATTTGTTCATCAAAAGATGCACCCAGCCAGTTCAAAGAGGCTTGAATTGACATTGTGCTGCGGATGTAGAAGCCGGTTTCTACACATTGGCTTACACATCGTTGTGTGCCTGTAAAATGTGACCATTGCCCTTGTGGTAAGAGGAAAGGTCCTTTTGTTTGCTCTGATAGGTGCTCTGTTGATGGAGTGGAAGATTATTCAGTTGTGGGGCACAAATATAATGCTATTTATTGCTTTTCTCAGGTTCCTTTTACAATGTAATAGCTCTTTCTCCTTGCCTGTACACTTTAGTCTGTCTACTTGCACATCAAATCATTTCCAAATTATTTCCAGATTAAAATGCAAATTTATTTCCTTCCCATTCCCGCTACCCATCTTCAAAAGGTTCTGGCAGAAAAGGTTCATATGAAAGCTTTGACAATTGCTCAGCGAGTAAAGCTTTTGCAGCAAGGACTTAATGATAGGTCAGGTAAGAGATTTTAAATTTAATTTACATTTGTCTTCTTTGTGTATTTGTTCAGTGTGCCAGTTTCTTTTCTTTTTTCCATGCTAGTAAAATGCATGAAAACTGTCTCATTAACTGAAAAACAACAGCTAAAATTCTATGCACACTTGGGAAAAGTCACTTTCTACTTATGAGTAAACATTCATGGGCTCACACTCATTCTCTGTTCCTGTGTGTGGCATGTGCAGAAATGTGAAAGCCCAGAACAAAACCAGAAAAATTGGAAAGAAATATTTGTTTCCTGCTTTTTTCCCCCAAGGGCCATTTTTGGTTTGTTTTGAAAAATTGATTAGCTTTGAATTATGAGATATTTTCGTTTAGAAGGAAGAATAAAATTTATCAGACAATATATTTGCTCAGACCATTGGAGAAAAGCTGGTGTAGTCTCCATCTTCAAGAAAGGGAAGAAAGACGAATCAGTGTACTATAGACCAGTCAGTCTAACTTCAGTCCCTGGGAAATTATTGGAGCACATCATTAAAAAATCAGTCTTTACGCATCCTGAAGAAAATATAGTGATAAACAGAAGCCAAAATGGATTTCTTAAAAATCATGCCAAACCAACCTAATCTCATTCTTCGACTGGTTACTACCCAAATGGATAGAAGAAATGCAGCGGACATAATTTAGCAAAGCCTTTGACGAAGTGCACCACAACATCCCACCTAATAAGTTAGTAAAATGTGACTACTGTCATCATATAACATAGGAAAAATGGGAATTTTTGACAGTTTGGCTTTTTCCCTATAAAATGTTCTGGTTAGTACTGTCACAAATATAGATTAAATGTAGCTTAATCTAAAACCAGCATGCAAAGGTAGCTTATCCTGTCACTGCTATAAGATGCCACAGAACAGCTTGTGGGTTATTCCATTTGTTTGCTTTTTTAATTAACTTTGATTCTTGTATTTTTGAAACTCACTGCCACAATTTATAATAAAATTCCTAGTTAGCTGTCACCAGTAAAGAGTGCTGTTTCAGCTGTAAAACCTGTAAGTGCTGCTGCTAGAATTTATGTATTATTTTTAAAAGCTTTTGCATACTATTCAATCAGCCATAGGCTCTCTGAATGGTGTATGAGAAAAAGACAATATAAAAACATTCCATAATATATAAAAATTATATATAAATAAATTTATATTATATTATTAGAATAAAACATATACCTGAGCAACAATCTTTTCCTGTGGCCTAGATCTGGTATTGACACCACCAGTAGAGACAACTTTTCAAAATGAACAAAAAATAAGTTGTTTATTAATGGAAATATTTACAAAATAAACAAAAGGTTATAATTCAAATAATAGGCTGCAATCAATCAAAGGTTCTTAAATTATATTAAAGCTCAGTAGCTTGCAATTCAGAACTGATTTCCCTAAACTTCACCTCACAATCAAAAGCAAGCTTAGGAATTTTCCTATTTACAGACAGGAAAAAACACTGCACACCATTCTTCCTTTGTTTCCAATTCTGCTTACGTCTTCTGTCTTCTAGGATGATTTAGATGTCCCAGGGAAGTTCCCTTTGGTCCTACAGAAACTAGGAACCTAAATATATACTATGCATAATTTGCTTTGCTCATAAAGTTATCATGTTTGATATATTACATTTAAACAGTTTATTCACATGATTACAAATTTACTGAGGTTATTTGTTAAAGTTTTGATTTCAGGGGGGTTGGTTTTTTTGCCGGGGAGGGGGATAAACATAAAGTTTAGGTTCCTAGAGCAGCCTTCTCCAATGTGATGTCCTCCAGATGCTTTGATTTGTAGCTCCCAGAATTTCCATGCTGCTTCAGCCGGATGGGAGCTGAGGTACAAAACATCTGGAAGACCCTACATTTGAGGAAAGGTGTACTGAAGCAATAAAGAAGCTATAGATCTGTAAAGAACACTAAAAAACCCACAAGTGGTGTACTTTTTAAAGTTTCCCAACCTTATTGATTCCCCCCCACATGGGCTTTTCTCCATTACTTCACAATTTCTAGACATTTTGCATCTCTAGGCATGCTGTGCAGCGCTCACCATAGTGACAGGGTTCATCTCTTCAGCCATGTTCCAGCCCTTCTCTGGCCCAGCTCCCATTTCATGCCAGCTGAAAAGGCTTCTGGAAAGAGAAGGGGTTAGCTGGAGAAAATGGGCAGATTCACGTAGGTGGATGCATGTTAGGCTGTTGGTTGGTGAGAATTACCTGAGGATGACTAGCTTCTTGGATTATATTTTAGTGATGTGAAGATAACCTATAACAGAAGAATAGGTCCAAGGTTTTTCAGTGCAAAGTGTTACGTATTTCAGAGAAGCTCTCATAGTTTCTAATACTTAAGGGATCTACCACTTGCTGTGATCATCTCTAAATATGTGTGCCACTGTCAATATTCTGAAAGCTGCATTTCAAAGTACTCAGCCAGAACTGTATCTGAGCTGGAATGTCTCTGCTTAACAGAAGCTGTGAAAGAAGTCGTGCAGAAGAAACTGCTCCAAGCTTGGCTTCGTCTGTGTGAGGGGAATGTGTTAGAATTGCTTCATCGGCTGGATGTAGAAAGTTGCCCTGAAGTTGGTGTTACAGCACTTAATGCCATGTTTTTGCTATCTTCACTCAATGATTTGATTAAAAACTTTGCAGACCTTGATGACAGGTATGTTTCTGCATGTGCTTAAAAAAAGATTTCTGTTTGGATACTTTTCGCCACAAGGAAGTAAGCCAAAGACTTCTCTACAGACTTCTTCTGTAGAACTTGATTTCATCTGTATTTGTTTTGGATTGCATGTGCCATTTCCTCCTTCGGCTGTGTTCCAGGGACTAGTGAATTGACCATATTTAGTTCTGAGCATTTATATGTCGTATTCTCTTCTCAAATTGTGCACTGAAACCGTAGCTCATAAAACACCTATAAAATGAGACCAGTGCTCCCAGGTTAAAAGTTCCAAGCCAAAACCAAATCAAAATGGCTGCTATTGAAAAGCATTCAGTCAACTTTTTGAAAGAAATCATCCATGGGGTAGTGGCCAGATGATCCCAACTCCAGTTGGTTTTGGTAACATGGCTGTCCCCAGAGAGAGGGAGGGAGGGCAGAGCCTCCCGTTGGTGGATGCAAAGGAAGAGAGACTCTCTCAGTGTGGCAGGTGAGGAGGAGGAGGAGCAACAAGGATGCATCCATTGTTCCTCTCCCCCAGACGGAGTATGCAGTGGAGGGGGCACAGCTCCCCACTTCCTCACCTCCATCACACCTTGCCACCCAGCTAGTGTTAGACAGAGCTCGTGGGAGACTCTAGGGTCGTAACTGTGTAGCTCCACCGTGGTAGGATCAGTCTCTTCCCAAGACTGACATCAGCAGCGGTCTTTTATACACACAGATTGCGTGAACATAAAATGAAGCTGGTGTGTAGGAGAAAAGTAATGGTTTGGCATGCGGCAGTTACTATGGAATAACATTTAGATTTTGCTTGAGTGAGGAATGCCTGCTGGTAACGGTGGGCTAAATAAGCTGGAATGTCGGACCCTTAATAATGTTCCATCCATTGTATCATTGTCTTCAACTTAATTTCTTAAAGGTAGATAGTAGAGCGGTGAATTTCAGCGATTGCTACTTTTTTAAAGCTTTTTTCATACCTGGTTCATAATTTGAATGTTCACTTACATGTTCAAGTGAAGTGATTTCTAACCCTTCATTGGCACAATATTTATTCCTTGATGTTCCTGTGTGTGTTTGACTTGAAAGGAAAGTAATTCCAATAGAAAAACTAACAGCGGAGAATGCAGTATTTTGGAAAGCTCTTTGCGAGTACCTGAAATCTGCAGGAGAAGGATTTTTAGAGCATGTTCTTCCAGAGCCTGCTGTATATGCAGATTATCTGTTAAGGTAAATTCATTTGAATAAATTGGAAAATTAAAATGTTAGTTTAATATATAGTCTGTTGTTCCTTTTATAGAAATGTTATAATAATAATAATAAATTATGGTTATCATTTTTCTTGGTTATGTGCCTGGCATTAAGCAACCAGCAGTGGCCCTTATTTCACATCCTCTTTTCATTGCACATCCCTCCATGAGGGCTGGCCACTGAAGTGAAGGGGTGAGAAATGGGCTACAGTTGGTGAACCACAGAAGAAGGAAGTGATAGGCCCCTGGTGAAGCCTCCATGGGCACAGGCAGTCTATCTGGGGCACAGTGCTGGAGGAGAAAGAGGCTGCTTCCTTTGCACATGACTGGTGAACCTTTTCATGGGCAGATCAGGCTCGTCTAGGGAGACCTTTCCTCTCTTAATCCATGAAGCAGTTCTTATAGTAAGGGTGGTATATTAATAAAATAAATAATAGCAACTGTAATTTAAATAAAATTACATGTTGTGGCACTTCTGAGTGCATGTACACAGGCTGGACTGAGAGGCTTATAATAATAATTACAATGTTTATAATGACTTAATAATTTTAATTAAGTAATATTTTTACCTAATTACTTAAATAAGGGTTTCCCTGAGACATGAAAATTATTTCAAGGGTTCCTGAAAGATAAAAAGGTTGAGAGAAGCTGCCCTATGCTGATAAGTAGTCTAGTATACAGAGATACTGCTCTAATCCCACTAGACAATAATTTGTTACCAATTAAGTTACCTTCAGAGTATGCCAGTCCTCACCCAAGAAGAAATGGAAGACATGGCCTCTGTTGAGCATTTGATGACCAAGGAATTCATTGGTCAGCAGCTGATTCTCATGATAGGCTGTATGGATACCTCTGAAGAAGGAGGAAGGTAAGTCTTTGGTATGTTTGTTACATGCTACATTGACTGTTTGATGTAAGTTCTTTATGGTGTTTGGTTATTCATCTGAAATGGACTGGAAAACTATTCATAGCGATTCCAAAGAATTCTGACACATGTTTGACTCACTTGTCTTTGACAAGAATAATAAACCATCATATGAGACCATCATAGTGGTTGCCTTTTAACTAATAAATGTGCTTTGTCTGGGAAATTTTTCACTTGATTTTTTTTTTGTCTTAATAAAGAAAAAGACTCTTGATTGTCTTGCAAGAAATCCTTATGATTCCAACCACTTCGGCATCCCTCGTACCAGCACTTATGGAGAAACTGCTTTGTATTCTCAAAGACGATGACAGAAGAATCCAGATTGTATGTTACTCTAGTTGCACTTTCTTAACTTCCAGAATATAGCATGAAGGGTTAGAGCCACAACAGTCACTTTCTCAGTGCATTTCCATTTTGAATTTGGTTCCCATGTGTCTTTCTTTTCTAGCATTGTGTTCTTTCATTTCTTGAATTTAGCTCTACTTGATAGCTCAGGGGTTTTAGTCTTTCAAATGCAATACTTCTATGAGCGTAAAGGTGATGTCTTTATTTATTAAAGCCGTTTGGTCAAGAGTTTGGCCTTTATGCAGACAGTAACTGCATCATATTGAACTATATGTGGCCTTGATCAGATATGTTTTGCCATGGCAAGTGTGACGCTGTACTTTGGCAGGAGTTACAAGCAGGTCACCATATTCCCACCTTTGAAGCCACCAAGATGGGTGGAATCATTCTGAATGGTGATTCCTGCCACCCTTTCAGCTCCAAAGTTTGAAGGAAGACTGGGAATTGCTTGGCGGCGGCTGCATGGTGGAGATGCCCAAACACAGTGAGCCATGCAGGGCCAACCCAGCAACCCCACTCCTTCCCAGGCCTTGCTTCAGAGCAGTTAAGGCAGATGGGTTAGCATGAGATGTCACTGCCTGAGGGCTTCCCTGAACAACTTTGGGCAGTGTGCTGTGCCAGCAGCACATGCTCTCTCCAGGTCCTGTATTTGTACAGGAAAATCTGACTGGGGAGGACCATTGGGCACTGCAATCCAAAGCAGCCCCAGGTAGCCTCAGGAAGCAGTTCCTAGTGGCATACTTCCTCCTTGCCTGGCTTTTCCCTTAGAGCATTGGACCAAGAAGCCGGAAGTTCTCCGCTTGCCTTTAAAAAGCAACACCCAGTTGTATGTGCTTCCTTCTTCCAGTGTTTTCCATCGAAATGACTGGGAGGGAGGGAAGGGAATGCTTGATGCTGTAGCCTGAAAGCATTGTGTGTGCCATTGCAAAGCATATTCCAACAGCCTTTGCGCCTTCCTTCCTGCTCTGCCTGCTTTCTTGGGAAAGACTGAGTTGTGGGGGAAAACATTAGATGCTACTTCCTGAGATGCAATGACTGGGAATGCTTGTGGGTTTAGGAGGTGGGGAGGCCAGGGACTGGAGGGCTGTCCCGTTCCATGAACTGATTTGCATTCCCCCCAAAATCACTGAAAAGAGGGAGAAGAACTTGTTTTTATACCTTCCTAAGTTTTAGTTTGGTGTGAATTTATCTGCCTCAACAGGTTGCTGAAATCATTTCGGAAGTGCGTGAGGCAGTTATTACATTAGAAGATCCTCCAGATGCAACTGAAATACGAAACCAACAGCTTCAAGTAAGTGGAGATTTCAGAGCTTTTTTCTTATAGCGATCAGGTGCTAATATAACTGTACTGTTACCGGGATGCTCTGACATAAGTTTTGTTTCCTCTCCGCCCCAAAACATTTAATTTTACAATTTTCTTATAAGTGCAAACAATGCTAGGAGGTCTGAGGGTTAAGACTTCAATTCTTTGAAATGTCCAATTGTTTGGTCTGTAAAGGTGGTCCAAATCTTGGTACGGATGCTCATGTGGTTGGGCTTTTTTTCTCCTTGCTCATGTGTGGAAAGGGAAGGTAGTTCTGGTAGAAAGTGGAGGGTTTTCCTTCCAGCACTGTTGCACCCCAAAGCACAAAGGATCCACTGCAGACTTAAAGGCAACAAGTCCCAAACAGTTAGAAAAGAGCCACTTAAGAAATGTGTGTCCAGCTGTCTGTAACATCTGTGACAGGTTTAACATCTGTGTTGACAGTTATGTAGACTTCAGCTAGAAGAGTTCAGAGCCAGGCTTTTCCCCATTACATGTGGCACATTGAAGAGGGGGTCAGGTCACTTCCTCGTGAGGTTTGTGCTCGAGAGTGGCCTTTCCCTCTGTAAGAGTGCGGACCTGATTGTGTGGGTCCGCCCCCAGAGTCGGATGGATCTGGATGGATTCCTGAAGACCCTGGAGGAGTTTCCGGCTGACAAGACTGGTGTTCCTGTCGAGGCTCTGGTTGAATTATGGAATGGGGAAATGACCAGCGCTATTGACACGATCACTCCTAAGCATCCTCTCCTGCCGGGCAGAGCCCACTCTTGGTATACACCTGAATTGCAGGCGATGAAGCGGGCTGGGAGATGTCTAGAGTGTAGGTGGAGGAAATCACAGGATGAATCTGACCGAACACACTTAAGAGCCCATTATCGGGCCTATGCTGTGGCGGTGAGGGCAGCGAGAAAGAAATTCTTCTCTGTTTCCATTGCCTCCTCACAATGCTGTCCGGTGGAGCTTTTTCGGGTGGTACAAGGGCTGGTTCATCCTGACCCTAAGAAAGATCCGGTTCCACCCTCGAAGGCCCGCTGTGATGACTTTGCCAAGCATTTCAGGGAGAAAATCGCTCAGACTCGTCACGAGCTGGGCTCCACTAGTGATTCAGAGGCTTCTGGGGAGATACCAATGTCGCCGTCTGGTCCAAAATTGATGGATGAATTTCAGTTACTGCGAGCCTGATGATGTGGACAAGGTGCTTGGACGAGTACGTCCCACCACCTGCCTATTGGACCCTTGCCCATCTTGGCTAATTAACAACGCCAAGCACGGGATAGGGACCTGGATCTTGGAAGTGGTTAACGCCTCTCTGGGGGAGGCCTGGGTACCTGCCCCTTTAAAGGAGGTGGTAGTCCGACCAGTCCTGAAGAAGGCGTCACTGGATCCAGAGATGGCCACTAATTATAGACCAGTGGCCAACATCCCATGTCTGGGCAAGGTGTTGGAGCGGGTGGTGGCGGGACAACTCCAAGCACTCTTGGATGAAACTGATTATCTGGACCCATTTCAGTCCAGCTTCAGACCCGGCTATGGTACTGAATCTGCCTTGGTCACCCTGTACGATGACCTGTGCAGGGAGAGAGACAGGGGGAGTGCGTCCCTGTTGGTTCTCCTGGACCTCTCAGCGGCTTTCGATACCATCGACCATGGTATCCTTCTGGATAGGCTAGCGGGATTAGGGGTCGGGGGCACTGCTTTACAGTGGTTCCGCTCCAGTCTCAATGGCCGATTCCAGAAGGTGATGCTGGGGGACTATGGCTCTGCGCCATGGCAGCTATGCCATGGAGTTCCACAGGGTTCCATCTTGTCCCCCATGCTATTTAACATCTACATGAAACTGCTGGGGGAGGTCATCAGGAGGTGTGGGCTGCGGAATCATCAGTACGCAGATGATACCCAGCTCTACCTCTCGTTCTCTACCAATTCAGGTGAGGCAGTGGCTGTACTGAACCGGTGCCTGGCCGAGGTAATGGGCTGGATGAGGGCCAATAAACTGAAGCTCAAGCCAGACAAGACAGAGGTCCTGTTGGTTGGCAGATCGGGCTTCAGGGAAGGGAACCTGAACTTAGTCCTGAATGGGGTTGCACTCCCTCTTAGGGACAGGGTCTGCAGCTTGGGAGTGCTCCTCGACCCAGAGCTTTCACTGGAAGCTCAGGTAGCAGCGTTGGAGAGGAGCACTTTCTTTCAGGTTCGGCTGATCCATCAGCTCTGTCCCTACCTGGAGAACGACTGCCTGGCGACAGTGACACACGTGTTGGTGACGTCCCGACTTGACTTCTGTAACGCGCTCTACATGGGGCTGCCCTTGAAGACGGTCCGGATACTTCAGTTGGTTCAAAATAGAGCTGCCAGGCTGCTGGCGGGGACTGGGCATTATGTTCACATGACTCCAGTTCTCCGTCAGCTTCACTGGCTCCCCATTGAAGTCCGGGCCCAATTCAAGGTATTGGTTATGACCTATAAAGCCCTTAACGGCTTGGGTCCTGGTTACCTGAAGGAGTGCTTATGTCCATATATGCCCACCCGCCCCTTGAGATCAGCGGGAGAGGCCCTTCTCCGGGAACCCTCCATGATGGATATTAGGAGGGTAAGTACTCGGAGGAGGGCTTTCTCTGTGGTGGCACCCAGTCTATGGAATGAGCTCCCCAGAGAGGTCTGCCTGGCACCATCGTTATTTGTTTTTCGGTGCCAGGTGAAGACCTTTTTATTCAAACGTTATTTTAATTGTTATTTTTATTTATTTATTTATTGGCCAGGTCAACTCAAATTATATTGTTTTTAAATTGTGTTTGTTTATTATTGTGAGCCGCCCCGAGGCTTCGGCGAATGGGGCGGCATAGAAGCTTCCTAAATAAATAAATAAATGTATGTATGTATGTATGTATGTATGTATGTCAGTTTTAGAATGAAAGAAGCTTCCTAAATAATAAATAAATAAATGTCAGTTTTAGAAATAAGATTGATCACTTTTGTGCCGAGATTTGCCACTTTGTCTTGCAGCTGGCTGAAACAAAAGTGAAACTTATGGAAGCAAAAGATGCATTGGAGAAATGTGTGGCCCTGCAGGACTTCAGCCATGCGTTATTGTTGAAAGAGAGGATTGCAGAGCTGGAAGACATTAAAAGTGACCTGTTGAGAAAGGCAGAGGAGCCTCAGACAAAAGAAATATGCATTGAAAAGGTGCCGTATTTTATTGTATTCTTGCTACTCTCCAACTCAGTTACTTCATTTTTAAATACAGGTGAAGAAACTGTATTTAAGCATATCAAGTACATTTTAAAGTAGTACAGTTTTATGCTACATCTAATGTTGAATGTTTGCTATTTACATGTTTCAGTGTGGTTATTTTGGGATTATGATTTTTGTCGCTTAGGATCACCCTAGCATGTGAAAACTGGGTGGAAGGATATAAGAATCTGAGAAAATGTTTGCAGGGTGATATATTCATGCCATCAAATAATGTTTAAAGGCAGCCTGATTGTCTCATCACTTTCTTCTTTTAGATGTAGCATTAATTCGAATCTCGCCTGTCTTTAGTTAGAAACCAGTTGCTTATTCAGCTGAATGTTGTTCTCCATTTTGCTCTTATTGATTAAATACAGCTTTTGAAAGATTCTTCATTGTGTGAGCTTGTACTGAATTGCAATTTTCTTTTGTTTTCAAAGGATGACCCTGAAACACTACTGAAATGCCTGATGATGTGCAATGAACTTTTAAAGCAGCTGTCCCTCTCTAAAGGACTAGGTCCAACAATGGATGGAATAATTGAATCCTTGGTAAGTGGCTACAAACACAAGCATTTGCCATATATGAGAGTTCAAAAGACATATCCTGAGTGGATAATGTTTTGGGATCCTGAGTATCATTGCTTCTCCTTGGTGACAATTGTTATTTTAAGTGTATCTCTGCATGGGCAGGAATGATTCTCAAACCCTTAAAAAGGATTCCTTTTCATGCAGAAAAGTAGTGTACAAAGGGTCAAGCCAACCACTTCACTCACTCTGGCCCTACACAGGCTTTTGATAAGTGAGGCTGGATTTGTCTTAGCACATCTGGCGGATGCCCACCCTTGAGGCAATTGTTGGCAGCTCTACTTCTTTGGGGCTGTTTGGCAGCTGATCTTTCTTTCAAGCCAACCACTGGAAAGGTAGGAGGGCAGGAAAGAAGAGAAGAGAAAGTGTGTTCTGATCCAAAATGTAATGTGTAACAGTCCTCATACCATTCTATGTTTGAGAGCGGAATAGTTTTCTTTTGCCAAACTTGCAAATAAGTCTGCAAAAGTTGGTATTCCAGAAAAACATTTCCCAGATGGACTCTTTTGCCTTGAATATTCCTCTGTTAGCAATTTTGTGGCACCCTGACAGCCTGAAAGGGTGGAGATGGGACTGGGGAGGAACATCAACTCAGTTCCCTGTTTGCTTGTTTGGAAGAGTGTCTGACTCACCCCAATTGGTTTTCCCCTGTCTAACTGGAGTACCTTTGGGGAGGAGGGTAGAGTCTGATCCGCAGATCTGACGTCGGAGCTCAGTCTCTGGCACTGGAACTGGGAAGCTGAAAAATCTGGGCCCCTTAGCTAAGGTCTATTTTATTTATTTATTTAGAGAATTTCTAGGCCACCCCATTCGCCAAAGCCTCGGGGCGGCTTACAAATAAATAAATTAAAATACATAAATAGCGATATAAAAGACACTTAACTGTATAAAATAAGTCGCCCTGGCCAAAAAAACTTTAAAATAAAAATATCATTAACAATTAAAATGACGCTTGAATAAAAAGGTCTTCGCCTGGCGCCGAAAAACAAATAATGACGGCGCCAGGCGGACCTCTCTGGGGAGTGCATTCCATAGATTGGGCGCCACCGCAGAGAAAGCCCTCCTCCGA